AAATCTTTTGGCCAATAATGTAATAAGTTATTACGTTTTTGGCCAGGAAACAAGTTATTACGTTATCACTTCAGGACTTTTATTACGTTATCGGCCGTTACGTTATTGACTTCTACAAGCCATAAGTATTCTTGAGAAGTTTAATCTAGACATGTTGGCAATTGTCTGCAACGATAAATGAACACTGGCATTAAAATGTAAAAACAGACAAGAAAGCTGACAAGTTATCTCATTTTCCAACATGGCTTACAAATAGTCAGCTTCATGTAAAGTCTCAGCCATACCCATCACTTTGTAGTGTCCCTCCTATCTATGCTGTGCTATTTGTAGTGTTTTTGTATTTCAAAGTGTTTTCTATATTCTTCTAAATGCTGTGCCTGTTTTGTCAAATTACTGAAGATGTTTTCTTGATTTGCTTGCGTTTCGTCCGTCCGCATGCGTTTTCTCAATCACCACCGTACCTTAAGGCGTTAATATAAAAATACTATGCACTCTTTTTGAAGAAGCATCCGACATGTTCCTTCCACCTGACTGTTGCTGTCTGTGCTGTCCACTTCCACAGTATTTTAAACATGCAAGTGCACCGGCACAACAGCAGTCGTCCAATTAAACCGTTTTTGAGGCAATCAACAAAAACAAAACAAAACAAAAAAATGCAAATGCGTCCAGATGCGTCCCTTTTTGGACGGGAACTTGAAAACATTCGAAGGGAATCAACAAAGGACAATGGCTCTCACTTCCTACCAGCCTGTTTTCTGTAGGAAATCTATGCATCTGCCGTCTGATACACACATTTCTGCACCTTTTACTGCTTGTTTAGTCTCCGAGTGCGCACCTCACACCTCTCTAAATGGGGCTTGGATTTGTGTTGTCGGAGGAGCGGCGGGACAAGTCGAGGTTGGGTGTTTATGTGGTCTTGTAAAAGAGCACTACGGAGGATAAGTGGCTTTTTTTTTCTCTAAATCAACAATAAGGACACTGGAGAAAAGACAGGAAGTAGTGGAGAAGGAAGTGAAACAGGGACTGACAAGCATCTCTAGTGTGAACTTCTAACTTCAGTGGGCAGGGAAGAGACTGAAACATGAGCACACATGAGAGAATGAAGGTGAACATCAGCGGGTTGAGACTAGTTTGAACTTCTTCGTGAGAGAACGGACGGTTTTGTGAAGGATGGCTCGACACACACACACACATAAAAAAACACACACACACACACGCCTACCTCTGCATCAGCTCCGCTGCCGTGACCCTTAGGCAGCTCTGATGGCCAATTTCCAATGTAAATTAGCCATCTCTACGCCGAACATGTCTGAAATGCCATTACTCATGCAGATATTGTGAAATCAGCCATTAGCAGCAGAAACCTCATGAAAGGTTGTTAAGGTCTGGACTGGAATACTAATTATGAAAGAGCTCCACTGCTGAAGCAAAGGGGCAGGGACTTCAGTAGCCAGTGGTGACCAACTAGCAATTATAATAAACATCTTGAATCCATTTGCTGCATTATACCCAATGTGTGTGTGTGTGTGTGTGTGTGTGAGCCTTCAGCGTAGACACATTTTCAAACCCAGCTTGGGTGCATTGTTAAGGCTGTCTGTACAATAAAGACACATACATTCGAGGTCTTTTGTTTGGTTTGATCGTACGAAAAGTGACAGAAAACTGAAACTGTAAAGGAAAAGGTAGATGGGAAACCACTTTATTGGAGCTTTACCAGCCGCGCCACTTGGCTTGTGAGTGTGAGTGTAAGAAATCTGGGACACAGAGAGGCTGTGGTGTGTGATTCTGCTATAACAACAGAGCACAGGGGAGATAGTACAATAGTAACACATTCCCTGTGACTAAGAATGAATTATTAATTTGACATCAAACGCTGCAGTGTTGTGGATGAGCGGTAATAATTGCGTGAGTACAAAAACACATGGGATGCTTTTTTTATTTATTTTTTTTATATTGAGTAAGTGTTGGAATATCTGCTATTTGGTCATTTTTAAAGCCCACTAACAGCAGTAACAGGCTCCACCAATAGCAATAACGTCTGTATAACTATTTAAAAATACCTAATGATGAGCAAAAGTCAAGTTGTTCACAAAATAGTTGAAACAGAAGAGCTCAGTATAATTCTCATAGTGTTATATCGTCGTATAATTCACATTCATGGATTATTTTTACTGATGCATCATTGTTTCAGCTGCAGTGTTCAAAGTGTGTGAAAAAAGTAGTGGCTTATAGTCCGGAAATTACGGTACATATACACACAGTGCTTAACAAATTAGTCATGTGGTCTCATACATTTGTTCAGCACTCTATATCAACTTGATTTTCAACAAAGTGGTTGAGTTAAACAAATAATATTTTAAACTTTCCACCAGTGGATTTTTATAATGTTATAATTCTGAAGTTTTCCTTGTTTCCTCCAAAGATGCTCGATATGAACCCAACATTCACACAGACTAATACCCACCAACCCATCAGCAGTACCTCTGTCAGTCGCTGCAGGCAATAAGGGCTTCATCTGTGCATGTCGACACCTAATACTGAGTTCAGACCGGTGATCGGAGGATGCAACGGTTTGGCTAGTTGCTGCAGAATGCTCCGCGTGCATGTGTGTGTGATTGGAGCTCTATGCTAAACATGACCACTCATCTCTGGTGTCACCAGGAGCCCCGGGCTCACGCCATGACGTTAATAGTTTGACAGGCCCCACTGCTCGTCTCGCTTTCCCGCCCTCCATCTGCTCCTCTTTTCCTCCCTCCCTCTGGCTCTTTCCCTCTTTCTTTTTTTATCACTTTGTGTCACTTATTTGTTATCTCCTCGTGCCTGCGGACAAATGCAGGTCACAGATACGATACAACCTGGAAAACATTTGAAAAGAAAAAGTGTAGGGTTTTTTTTTTCTATTTAAGGTTTGAGCAAGGTGGAAAATACTGTGCTTCTTCAAGTTGTGACACTTGATTGTGCGTGTTGAGTGAACTGGCTGCAGAACTTCGAGGTAGATCTCATCCAGTCCACTGCGGGTGTTTGTGTACATTCCTTGCGAGTACATATAAGTTAGATCGCTGTTGCACAGGGCGCGTTGCTGTTACGATTCAGGCCCGCTTGAATGGACGCCAGACTTGTGGCTGGCATTCAACCCCATATCTTAGCCTCTTATTCGGTCCCTGCCAGTGAAAATATTCTGCCTTTGCAACAAGAATTGTGCTTGGCTGCAGGTCAGGAGGACCCTCGCTGCTGATTTATGAAACGTGTTTGCCGAGAAGCGCCGATTCCTCCCGATGAGCTGCGATCACTCACCTGTACACGTACATCACACAACGGTCGCAGGAGTAAGTCAAGAGAAAGTCTGTTCCCCTGGTGTGAGCAATGATCAAGAGGCCTACAAACACACACACACACACACACACACACTCGCACAGTAGCCGTATGATGAGCTGTAATGATGAGTGAGGGTGTGACGGATTGAGCCTTCAGTCCAGGTTTGTCCACGGTCTGAATAATGGCCCTGGAAGTTGTCCAAGCTTCTCACTTTCCCCTGCTTCTCTCAAGATTATTTATACTGTTTTTAATCTCTCTCTATCCCAAGCCCATGTTTTAAAGCCGTATTTACATATTTTAGTGTTTTTTTTCCCCCCTCATCTTGTTAAACGGTAACCTGGATTCTTACTATGCGTTGCTTTTTTGTATATTCTACTTTTTCTTATGTTTGATTTTAACGTGGCAAAAACCAATATTATTGATATTTAACTTGAGTGGAATTACTCCTGAAATGTGTATGTCCTTACTGCAGGTTATCGAACGGTTAAATGTCAGTGTGTTCTTTGACATTTTATTATCTTTTTTACTCCGACTTATATCAGCGCCCAACTTTACTGTCACCTTTGTGCCGGAAGTTTCAGCTTGCCGTGTTCAAAACTAATTATGATTTTGCTTTCTGGCGTCGCAGACATTTTGCTTGACTGCTTTGCACAGGAGACAGCAACAGTCATGCCAAAGACAGAAACCTTAAATGGAGTTTAAGCTTCTGTAAAACAAACCTTGCAGCCACGTTTGTCTAGAGAAGAAAAAAAAAATCACTAAAATTACACTATAAGAGCCAGAAACTGTAAAAACCCACATAAACCTGGAGTTTTCAACTTTTCAGTGGTTCTTAAACTTAACTGAATCTAAGCCCAGAAACGTGGCATTTCATCGTCTCAGTTAGAGATTTGTCAAAAACACACAGTTTACTCTGACAACCGTGACGAAAAAGTGACTCAAGTTATCAATCAATCAATCAGACTTTATTTCTATAGCACTTGTCATTCAAACAGAAATGCAACACAAAGTGCTTTATAGCAGCGGTTCTCAACTGGTCTCACCCTGGGACCCACATGTTCCCGTGGTCATTAAGTCGCGACCCAATTTTTTTTTTTTTAGAATTCAACATTCAATATAGCTTCCTGTGCAACATGCATTTCAGATCATATAAACATGCACAGTAACTGGACCGTGACACCTGCATGTACAAAACTGAATAAAACAAATATCAAATCTACTCGAAAATAAAGTTTTGGCCTAATCAGGTCATTTGTTGAAGTTATTGAGACAGTTGGACACGTGCTCTTCCGTGACCCACCAGTTGAGAACCCCTGCTTTATAGCAAATAAAAATACAGTAAAACAAGACACACAACCCGCCACCCCCGCAGTCAAGTTATCAATAAAAGCACTCTAAGACACTAGAACTGATAAAACTGAGGACTATGACGAACAATCATGTGGCAAAAAAATGTGTGGTTGGACTGGGCTGAACTGCAGGTAGAGTTTACATGGAGTGGATACAAGAACAGCATGAAAACAGATTAAAAACATAGATAGTAAAATATCTATAGCATGCAAAGCCACTATTCTTTCCCTGTATTGAGTTCTCTCTATTTGTTGTTGTGTTGTTGCCACAGAGGAGGATAGGAGTAGGAGCAGGAGTATATATATATATATATATACACAACTGTAAATTATTTCAATTTTACACGTTCATTTTGAAAATCTTCTCCTCACAAATAAAACGGTGCTTGCGAAGACAGTGTTCGTTGCTCCACTTGTTGTTGTCTGTTGTTTTGAGGACCCCGCATTGGTAGGCTAAGGACGGCTCAGGCTGTTGGCCATCCTTCCAGTTGCTCACGGTCACTGGGCGGTCCTTCCAGATCCAGAAGCCAAACACGGTACTCTGCCTCATACCGATCCAGAATGTACCACTTTTATCATTGACATCTAGCCATTGCTGGACCGCCTCCTGATCATTTTCATCCGCCATCCACAGCAGGCTTGTGTGATTTTTCTCACAGTAGTCGAGAGCATCTTCCCAAGTTAATCTTTCTTCAATAACTCTGATTCTCATGTCGCCTAAAAGCAGGTAAAAGGCAGAAGTCAGATTTACAGAAGTGAGAATTACAGGTGACAAGTTCAGTGGCTTCATCAACATCCTGCCTCTTATGTGATGTCCTGATCTGTTCCCTCTTATGTTGAGTTAATCAGGGTTAAATATGTATTTGGTTCACGTATATTTTGTCCAACTACAAATCTTTCTTTCTTCTTTATTAATGATTAGACGGTGACATGGTGGCTCACATTCTGCACTGTTACCTCACAAACACAGAGATATAATAACTATGAGTGGTCAAAGTCAGTCTTGACTGGCTGTTCTTTGTGATAGCGTTACATAAATTATGATTATTTATTTTTGTCTTGTGCTACTATATGGATTTGTTTGGCATCTATATTTTTAAGGTGTCTCCTTTGTCTTTACACTTAATCTCTGTTCTGTGTTAACCAGAAAAGGAACATTTCAACTATTGTGACGCTTGTGTTAGTGCAGGATCTTTGAGAAACAGACCTCTTCTCTTCCCAAGATTACACTGACAGTGGAAGATTACATTCACACTTATTTATGAATTCATTAACATCAACATGTCCCCATGTCTCTAAAATCACAGCTTGTGGCTGCTGTCATAGTGACAATGGCATCACTTTCCTGCTCAGGTTTGTCTTTCACTGACAGATTTACTATAATTAGTTTTCTACTGATCTCAAGTGATGGTTTGAAATGAAGAAACTGTCTCCTGTTTATGTGCATACATGTCTAGTAAACATTAGAGTGGTTCTTAACTAATACAACACCATGTGGCTTTTGAAAATATATGTTTTTATTTATATATTGCTTACCTTTGGAGCAAAGTAGTTTTGCGTCATTGCCACAGCCATGTGGTTTCATAAATTTTGATCTAATTTCCAATGGATTAAATGACTGAGCTGTACATTTCTCTGGTCCATCAACGCTTGATGAAATATACCAGGTTCTGTTAGTCGAGCAGGTTCCGTCGACCCATTCCCATTCATCATGCAGGAGTCCAATCCAGAAGGTTTTGTTCTTTCCTTCTTTAATCACTTCGTTGTTTTTATCATCATTAGTGATGCTGACTAAATTACTGTTACGCTCTCTGCAGTACTGCTCTGCCTGGCACCAGTTCTTTTTCTCCTTGTCAATCAGAACGTATTGATTATCTGCAAAAACAAAAATATTACATTTATTGTGTTGGGATATATTTCACAATGAAGACATTAAGCTTTGGTTTAGTTTCATGAGTCTTTGTTTGCTTTTTGGAACAGAAACAAGGGAACCTATGAAAATGTAAGCAAATACTGTCTGCTGGAGCTTACCTTTGTAACACATGAAAGGATGTTTATCTGAACAATTGAAACCTTTCCATGTTTTGTTTTCCATTGCTTCACATATTTGGTCTCCATTTCTTATGTTTGCTGGGTTTACACTGGAGCGATTACATGTGAACGGGTCACCATTTGACCAAGTGGTGATATTTGTTCGGTTCTTGATCAGACCAAGCCAGTGGGTGGAATAGAGATCCTTTTTATTCACATAGTTCTCTGTGAACGTGGCGTCCTCGTCATCATACAGAGTTACAAGTGATCCACCTTCCTTTTTACATCTATTCAGTGCAGTTTCCCATCCTAAT